TGGATTGGTTTCGTGCTCAAGAGCTGTCCCAACAAGACAGGTCAATACCGATCAATACATCATACCCCCAGTACCGTTAATTGAAAATCTCGGCATAAGAAATGTACAAACCCCCCCCGTACTGAGAAATCGATATTAAAAGTACGAGAATTGCGATCAATACATGATACAGGGTCACCCAGAGTTATTTGTTCTATTTTTAAAATATGTACAACAGGACCTGTACAAACCAGTTCAAATTCTTGGAATCCTGGATGACGTAATTCAATCTCATTGGCTAAGATAGAAAAGTGATGAAGGGATTTTCCACTTTCTATTTTGGAAATGCCAAAAATATTTTGTTACTAGTCCGTCGGGCATATTGTGTTTAAAGTTTTAATTGGCTGAGGCGTAAATGCTCTAGTCCCAGGCGTCGGGCTAGTGGATTTTTTAACCCCTGATTATTGGATCCAACAAGGGTCAAAAGAAATCAGAAAATCAATACACAACAGATACAATATCTGAATATACAAAAAAAATACTAGGTGTTATTTGTTTTATTCTGTATAGGATTAACAATAATTTCACATTATGTAATAACTTTAAAATAGTGCATGTACATTACTATAAAAATAATTCTGTTTGGTCAGTTTTTGGTACAAATAATCAATATAAATACATAATGTATCAATTAGACATGCATACATTAGATAATTTTCCAATGAAACCATACAATATTTATCACAACCTTGATTAAACATTTGCAATGATATAAAAGAACAATGAGTAAATGAAATTGCACATTTGGGGATACATGAAAGGCATAAAGACACAAACTCAATAAATATATGAAGCTTTTTTACAGTATTGAATGGACAAACATATGCAAGTTCATTTCGCTTAATACAATGAGTAAAATGTCCAAAGTTTATCAAATACATGTCCTTTGTTTACATGTTCATAATGTGATCTGACAGGCTTAAATACATTTAGACACTTTTATTAATAATTGTTTCTTATTATAGGTGTTGTACATCGACCTTTGGTCTTTTTAAAATAAAAAAACATGTACTTCTGATTATGCATGATCACAGTCATACATCAACCTTCCTTCTTTTCTGTACATTATTGTAATCATCTGCAATGTAAAAAAAAAAACAGAAGTTGAATTCCATATTTGCTGTGTAGTTCGTCATTTCCTGGAAAGCATTTGTTTTTTTAATTTCTGTTCATGCATGACAACAAACGTGGACAAAAATTAACTTTTTCTTTTATTCTTCTCAAGTCATTTAATAAAATTATTTCACTTTACTAAGAATTTTTTTTTTTATTTTATTCTAAGGATGTGAAAACTGTGGTTATGTGGATACAAATAACATCTTAAAATCTTAAAGAAACTTTGAATCCAATATCATGTGAAAACTTTGTAAGGATTGGTGAAAGCAATTCTGAGCTAGAGTAAAACTTGCATGCAACAACATACCATATATGTAAATATTCAGTCTTCCCTACTAAGAGTAACTAGAACTGTGAGTAAAATCATAAAAGGATACCCCTGCACCTCACACTAATCGTATAATAAGTAATTAGTTCAATTATCTCCCCTGAAACACATTAGACCAGTATTATATTCCTTTATGCACATTCTTAAGTAGTGTTCTACAACTGTATATAGTTTCATCAATATCTTCAAGCCCTTAAGAATGAGTTGTGCTTACGAGAGAATATTAATTGAAGTAATGAAATTGGATCACTCCCCTTTACATTGATATTCCTCCATGAACATACTCCAGTAATTTCCTACAATATACTGAGGTATGTCCAGTGCACGATGTAGTGATGATATCGCCGTTATTGTCAACTTCGTTCATGATTTATACCTGCTCGCAACATTGTCTTACTTGTTGTCTACATCGTTGATATCGCCAACATCGTTCTTCTTGCTGTCTACATCGTCCCCTTTCCTGTCTACATCGTTGACATTGTCGACATCGTGATGTTGACAACATCGTGACGACATCTTCTACATCGTCCCCCTTTCCTGTCTACATCGTTGACATCGCCGACATCGTGACGACATCGTCTACATCGTCCCCCTTTTCTGTCTACATCGTTGACATCGCCGACATCGTGATGTTGACAACATCGTGATGACATTGTCTACATCGTTTTTCTTGCTGTCTAAATCGGCGATGTTGACAACATCGTGACAACATAGTCTACATCGTCCCCCTTTCCTGTCTATATCTTTGACATCGCCTACATCGTTATTTTTAAATAAAGAAGTGTTTAGTTTATCAATTTCAATTTCAAATAATGTATTTATATTACGCCTGTGTCGATGTTCTTAATAGTAGAACTTATTTGGACAGTTTTTTATTGTTTGCAAATCTCTATCCTTCTCCTCCTCCTCCTTCTCGTCCTCCTCAACATCTTTGCGATGTTGACATTATAGATTACGTTGTTATACAGTGTTTTGACATTGTTTTTTTCGCGATGTCGGCAATGCCAACCATGCAGAGACAAGATGATGAAAGGATATCGACAAAGTAGTACAACACAATGTCGACATCGTTTTATTCAAAATTAACAATTTTAACACGAGTAATGTGTTAGCCATATCGGCAATGTCAACGATGTAGACAAGAGTATGAAACGATATCGACAACGTTGTACAACATCGTGTCGACATTGTCTACTTCGCGAAATCGTCAAAGTCAAAGATGTAGACAAGAGTATGAAACGATATCGACAACGTTGTACAACATCGTGTCGACATTGTCTATTTTGCGATATCGTCAAAGTCAACGATGTAGACAAGAGTATGAAACGATATCGACAACTTTGTACAATATTGTGTCGACATTGTCTACTTCGCGATATCGTCAATGTCAACGATGTAGATTAGAGTATGAAACGATATCGACAACATTGTACAATATTGTGTCACCATTGCCTACTTTGCGATGTCGACAATATCGGTACTACTTTGTACACTGGACATGAATGAATATACTGTGTAAATATCAATCCAACAGCTTAGGAGGAGTTCTGTTTACAAGCCAATTGGACAACCAGACAGGGTGATTCCTAAATACCCCGTAAAAAAAGTTTGCATGAGGTATAAAAATGGAGAACAAATTTCAAAACAATTCCATATTCCATATTCTAAGATGCATAACTTCAATTTGAGTATACACATTCCTAAACTTATACAAATCAAGTCTGACAATTTGAGGAAAAAATTGTTTCCAAAATAAATACCAATTTTTCTTTATTAAACTATCAACAATTCACCTTATGCACTTTTGCACTGCAGAAACCAACAAAAACCTTTTCCAATAGACATGAAACCTATCATAAACACAGAATTGAAACTGTCCAAAATTCGGTTGATTATTGATGTATTAACCTTTGGTTATAGGAAAGGTTTTTTTTTCTAACATGAACAAGTTATGGAAAAAAAGAAAAAGAAAAGGGAGATAATTAACATGAAAAGCCGGTGATAGACAAGAAATGATTGTAACAGGATGCTGTTACGAAGACTCCCAAACGAAGCTCCCATAATTCGAAATTTCCAGTGTCGCCTGACATTGGACAAAGTCCAGTGAAAATTGGTTTGGTCCAGTAAAGTATATGCATTAGTGATGCCTGAGGACTAACCCTGTATATCATTCAAATCATCTTGGCATGACAAACCAGAATATATATGGTTTAGGGGTGGGGATCTCGACCATTTACAAGATACTAGAACATTGGGGGTGGGGGGAACCCCTGGGGACTGACCCTATACATCATTCAAATGTTCGAGACACGACGAACAGGAATATATATGGTTAAGGGGTGGGGATCTCAACCATTTACAAGATATTAGAACATTGGGGGTGGGGGGAACCCCTGGGGACTGACCGTATACGTCATTCAAATGTTCGAGACATGATGAACAGGAATAAATATGGTTTAGGGGTGGGGATCTCGACCATTTACAAGATATTAGAACTTTCTCAAATGGCAGGGGGTCGGGATGACCCCTGGGGACTAACCCTGTATATCATTCAAACCATCATAGCATGACAAACCAGAATATATATGGTTTAGGGGTGGGGATCTTGACCACTTACAAGATATTAGAACTTTCTTAAATGGCAGGGGGTGGGGGTGACCTCTGGGGACTAACCCTGTATTTCATTTGATGTGCTTTATCATGACAAACCAGAATATATATGGTTTAGGGGTGGGGATCTGGACCATTTACAAGATATTAGAACTTTCTCAAATGGCAGGGGTCGGGATGACCCCTGGGGACTAACCCTGTATATCATTTGATGTGCTTTATCATGACAAACCAGAATATATATGGTTTAGGGGTGGGGATCTCGACCATTTACAAGATATTAGAACTTTCTCAAATGGCAGGGGGTCGGGATGACCCCTGGGGACTAACCCTGTATATCATTCAAACCATCATAGCATGACAAACCAGAATATATATGGTTTAGGGGTGGGGATCTCGACCATTTACAAGATATTAGAACTTTCTCAAATGGCAGGGGGTCGGGATGACCCCTGGGGACTAACCCTATATTTCATTTAATGTGCTTTATCATTTAGAACATTTTCAATTAAAAAGATTGTGTCTATCACAAACGGTTTTCAATTTATAATCATTTGAAAATTTAAAAAAATAAAATCCCATAGGGTTCTATAGTAAAACCCTCCTTTCTTTTTGCCCCTCAAAGTACCCCTTTATAAACCCCAATGCACAAACAAAACCCTGATTGCACCACTAGACATGTTAGTCTAGCATATTGTGAATCCCTAAGTTAATCTGACAAGCGGTTTTGGAGAACGGGTGCGGACAAGTTCAAATTTAAAAGCGGCGGAAGAGGAAGAAGAAGAAGAAGAAGAATAATAATAATAATAATAATAATAAGAACTGAGCAAAACCAATAAATCTTCCCAAACTTCGTTTGGGAGACTTAAAAAACCAGAAAGGGAGATAATCAACACGAAAAGCAAACCAGAAAGGGAGGTAATCTACTATCAGCCTACCATTAACTGACACTTTCCTAACAGCCACAGAACCTTTGGTTACAGGAAAATGGTTATTGAGAGTATTTTCTCTGATAGGTGTTTTAGACATAGGGATGGATGTCCTACTTCTTTCCTGTTTTTCCTGCACATGCTTCTGTGAGGGGTCGATATTCTCTATATCCATTGACTGGTTCCATACTGTGTCTTCTGAAAAGTTTTGAAAATTTCTTCATTGAAAAGATATCTATTTGAGAATTTTGTATATTATCAAGAGTCAATGAGTTTAAACAAGAAACTTTATTGTACTTTTACCGAAAAACATAATTTATAACGTACAAAGTCACACTTTTTTTTTACTAAAAAATGCTATTTTGAGGGTACATAATTTCATGGTTTTGTCGTTAGTTCCTACGAAAGTAACTAAAAATTTGTATTTTGTCGAGAATATAAATTCATATTTCAATTTGTGGTTTACAACTTTCAACAAAATCTATGAAAACATGTTTTTTTCAGAAGATTAGGATGTTGGTGCTGTCTGTTGTTCTATCCAATATTTTTAGTAGTTCCTGTTATCACTTTTTATCATGTATTATCAAATATTCTATTTCAAGTCATATCGTTTAGTTATTTCACACAAAAGAAACAAGTCAATAAGAACCTAAAAAAATATTTGAACTGACAGCTCTATATATATTAATTCCTCTCAAATTCTAATCCTATTATTTACCAAAAGTTCCTTCCTCTATAAGTTCTGGTGGAGTCTCCACATTTACATTGCTTTTTTCTCCAAGTGAACCTGGTCTCGAACTTCCACTTAATACAGGACCTCTGGACCTCAATCCTGGCTTTGGACTAGATGTATGCATAGGTGGACCAAGTCCTAAGGCTGGAGTAGATGATGCTATTGGTGGTCCTAATAAAAATGTTAAAATTATATTTTCATCAATCAAATTCAATAATAAATTATATCTGAAATAATTTGCTATTTTCAATTGTACATTTTCCCTTTGATCTTATTGCCTAATATTTTCTTCGATCACAGACAGGATGTGATAGTAGAAAGTACAAGGCAATGATGTCATGTGACAATGCAGCAACTTCATGCTTTTCATGTCCGTATCAAATTAAACAGTCATTCTCCATCCATCGTTCTTATTATTATACATACACGGTTATTCTATTCAAGTTTTCTTAAATAATAGTTCTCCCATCAGCAAATAGAAATGTTTCTAACAAGTGATATTAATATGACCAACTTAACACATCTAAATACTGAAATGTGCATCCCAAAATTGGTAAATTTAAAAAAAAAAAAAACATTTTTGTTACTGTCTTTAGTTTTTTACCTAGATTAGTAATGGCTGTTTGGTCCTGTTGTTTTTGCTGTAATTTTTGTTGGAATTCTATCTGCTTCTGTCGCTGCCTCATTAATCTTTCATATTTAGCTTTTTCATCTTCACCTTTGGCATCTTTAATATCTTTCCTATGTACAATTTTCAAAAAAGTCATTCTTAAAACAATTGTAAGAAATTGAAATCGATTTTGCCTGGGTTTAATGCTGTTGTTTTCTTATTGTAAAATGAATCATAAAGATTTGTCTTTCGTTTAATTTGTATTTGTATTTTTATCCTTTTTCTTGTGTCAAAACAATATATTAACACATACATTTGTAAGAACTGTTTTCACAAGTGCCAAAATTTGACCACCCAATTTTTAACTTCCTTCATCAAAATATTAGTAAAAATTAGATCAACCAGAATGGAACAATCAACAAGCAATACTGTAATGTAAAATATAATAACTACATGAAAAAAATAATCTTAATAATATTCCAGTGAAACTTGAGACATTGGGTCAAAATTGCAAATTGGCATATAATTTTAAAAGTTCACATCATAGTGAACATGTGGACTTAGTTTCAAGTTGATGTGATTACAACTTCCTGGTAAACTATCTTAACCAGAAAACTTCAACCTGGGACAGACAAATGGACTGATGCACAGACCAAAAAAAAGAATCTCTCCTACGATAGAGAAAAAAATCTACAAAATGCAAATATGGCTAAAACCATCTGCTGACTCCTTATAGGAATATTAAACGTAGACAAAAAGGGGTTATACTTGTTCAAATAAATTGTATGTACTCACTGGTACAGGTAACTTATTTTGTAGGTAGAGTTATCTTGATACTTTTCATAGTTTTCTTCTTTTCAAGGTTTTCTTTTCACTACATTACTCTAAAATCGTTTAATTGTCTGTCTGAATATTTATAAAAGTACAATTTCATGGACAATGATACAAATTTGTACTCTAGTTTGCAGATATGACAAAGTCCATGTCATGCCAAAGTGAAACCCAAAAACTTATTCAGATGAAGAAATGAAATAAGAGTTGCAAAAGAATATAATATGAGTAAAATTCTGTGAAAGATTCAACAAATTCTGTCTAGCAGTTCAGGAGCAGTAGCTAGATAAACAATAACAAGCATTCACTGTTTTTTGCAGCAAATTATGAAATTATCAGTTGAAGATTTAAGTGTCACAACTCATAGCTATCTGCTAATTAATGTGTGGAGGTTCTTTTTCATGGGTATCAATTTTTATAAGATGTAAAAACATCGTTGGTTGTTGGAAGTTGTAAATTCGTGATTTTAAGATTTTCACTTTCAGGCTGGATGGAATATATGTGTTTTGTTCTGTACCATATTTGGTAGTTTGAGGAAAAGACAAAACCCAAGAAAATTGGTACCCAACAAACAATATGGTCCCTTTACCTCATGTTTTCATCACCATAGCTAGGATCCACTAATTGTACAGATTGTGTCCTTTTATGATTTATTTTTTGTCCTGGATCTTCTGGACCCTGTTTCCCTAAAGAAAGTCTACCAGTTATTGTTTGGTCTTCAGTACTCTGTTTTCCTATTGAAAGTCTACCAGTATTTGAAGGAGTACTGGTTCCTTGCATACTATTTGATGAGCCTCTTCTAGTGGTGACACCTTCTGGCACTAGTCCTTGTCCATCAGCTTCATAAGCATTTAATACAACAGCAGCAGGTAACCAGTCTTGATTTTTATTTGTCCCTGTGAAATTGTTAGAATCTCTCGACACACAAGAAGAGTATGCACTTTCTTTTGAAGCATTGTCTCTAGAACTATGAACACTAGAACCCCCACTGTTCGAACTTGGATTAGAATTTGTACTGTGAATACTTTCTCTATTTAATGTGTCTCTCCCGCTCAGTCTGGCATCAGTTGTCATAGAAGCAGGAGGAGGCATACATTCATTTCTTACTTGAGTGTCTAATGCTTTGGCTCTAACTTTCCTTGCTTTAGCCACTGTTTGATCAATGTCTAAATGTTTCATGTCATTTATATCATAGACTTTTGCAGGCTGAAAAATATATATATGAAAATGTTAAAATACATTTGATATAAATACAATTACAATTCAACTATAACATGTATTACCTTCAAATGCATTTAAAAAAAATCCATATTTACTCTAAAACATTTAATTCCAACTTCTATCACTTGTCTCAAATTCTGACTCTATGATAAAATTTTAAACTGCAAACAGCTATGACAACTATAACAAGGTTACTACGAGGAAACCCAGTGAGAGGAGATAATTACTCTCATACTAGAAATCTGATAGAGTTCTAAATGCTTATTTTTTTCAAATGTAGATATATCAGTATGCAAAACTACAGAACGTATATTAAAAAAATTCGTAAGGGTTCCGCGGAACCCAGTGTCTCGCCTACTTTTCTGTTAATCGCAGGCTCAACAAAAATGAGGAAGTAAATCAATAAAAATATTCCCCTTGATACTATCTTCTGATTGTAAGAAGCTTCTGTCCAAGTTTGGTAAAAATCCAGGAGAGTTTATGAATCTAATAAATGTTTAAAAACTTTAACTGCAGTCTGAATGTAATGTTAATTGGAAGAAAACAAATTTCCTTCTAGATACTAGCATTTGATCATAAACAAGCTTCTGTCCAAGTTTGGTTCAAATCCAAAATAGTATAAGAAAGTTATTAAAATTTTAAAAACTTTAACCACAGAGTGAATATGTTGTTTCCTGGCAGAAAATCTAAGTCCATTTAAAAGTAAAATACGGAAAAAATGGATTTATTTTTTTACAAAATTTCCTTCTAGATACTAGCTTTTGATCATAAGCAAGCTTCTGTCCAAGTTTGGTACAAATCCAAAATAGTATAAGAAAGTTATTAAAATTTTAAAAACTTTAACCACAGAGTAAATATGTTGTTTCCTGGCAGAAAATCTAAGTCCATTTAAAAGTAAAATAAGGAAAAAATGGATTTATTTTTTTACAAAATTTACTTCTAGATACTATCTTATGATCATAAACAAGCTTCTGTCCAAGTTTGGTAGAAATCCAGGATAGTTTAAGAAAGTTATTAAAATTTCAAAAACTTTAACTACAGAGTGAATATTTGTGGATGCCGCCGACGACAACGACGACGCCGACGGAATGTAGGATCGCTATGTCTTGCTTTTTCGACTAAAGTCGAAGGCTCGACAAAAACTAATCACTATCTTCATAAACATTAATACTCCATAATTTTATGCTATTTGTTTAATCTATGTTACCATGACCAAAATACATGTGATGCAGAAGAAAAGTTACCTTTCAATATCCCTAAATACTTCTTTATGAATCAACTACAAAGAAATCTTAGTAAATTTTCAACAAAAGGAATTAATAATATACACATTTTGGGTGAACCAAGTCAAATAACCGATAATAATCATTTCTGTGTAAAACTTTACTACTTTTGTACTATTAAATATAATATTACCGGTTTAGGAGCTCTGTTTATACATTTCAAATAATCTTTATCAGCCATACAATTACCCAGAGAATTACCAAAGCTTCTGAAAAATAAAGAAAAACACATCTGTTAAAAAGGAGAAGCTTCAAGAATTTTAGAGGTCATTTATCCCTGTAAATAGAACATCATGGAGGCTACTTTTTATTGGTGGAGGTAGACAGAGTACCTGGAGAGAACAATAACCTTCAGAAGAGATTCATATTATTTTCAGTTTTTCACTTGGAGAATTGTTAAAATGTTTGTTAATTTTTCACTATATATTACTTGAGAGCTCTTTTTAATCCATCAGTGACAGCTTCTTTTCTAGCTTTTTCTATAGATAAAGCTTTAGACTTCATTCCTTCACTAACTCCATAACCTACATCTTCATGGAAGATACCATCCTGCCAGAGAAAAAATATTAAAATTCACATAATTTTATATTGACAGTTGTTTAAATCAGAAATAAATAAAGAAAATAAACATTAGATTATCTAATAGTCTGCATGTATAAGTTAATGTCTGATGTATGTGTTAAACTGAAAGTCAAAATTGTGAAGGTGCTAACCCAGTTCTTGCATTTTACATGTTGTATACATGCATTTTTTTTGGTTGCTGCATATTCATGGGATGTAATTACCCTCATATTGAATAAGTTTGGGATTTTCCCCAACTGAATAACATAAGATCTTGAAAGTTTATTATATACTAATCAAAGGGGAATAATCTTTACATTATTAAATTATTGTCTTCCCATTCAACATTTCTCATGTGCATGCATGGACTATTTATCATTCTAAAAATCTGGATCTTTATTATTTTATTGTCATAAACATACAAGGGTCCATGATTGTTGAATAAAGCATTTCTTTTTCTATGTTGTTAATAGTGAATTTGAATGCATAAAAATTTAAAGTTCAAAAGACTATTTATTGGTGAAACTATTATGAATATCTTATAATGGTAATTTTTATTGTGTTTTACTTTATGTCATATGCAATCAGTTCTAGATAGGTAAAAAGGGGAAGGGGTGTTGAACGCACTTGTCTTATCCTCTAACACATTTATGCCAGTAACAAATCAGGCAATCTGGCCCATGTATATATAATTGTCGTCAGTCTTTGTGTATTTTTTTTTTCCTCAGGAGAGGGTGCTGGTGTGGTCTTTTATACTGTCCAATATTTTGGGGAACTTCTGTTGCTGTAAACAGACTAACTATTGCTGGTGATTTATTTTCATGACTTTCTCTCGTACAAAATATAAAATCATCATGAATATGTAAAACCTGGATTTTCCCTTATATGAATATACATCAGGAAAATTAGAAAATGGCAAAAATAAAACACTGCTAAGGACTTTACATGAACAAAAGTATCAGTAAAAACATATTGGTTTACAGTACCCTTTTGGCATATTACATGATCTAAAATGTATTTAAACAGTTTTTGCAAAAATTATATTCATGAAGTAGACTTAATGTATCAGTATACAAGCTTTTTAAGTGAACACCATAGAAATTTTCAAACTGTGCATAAGGCTGCCTTTGTATTATATATATATGCAATGAGCTACATGTACTTAAAGGTCATTCACAATAGTTTTGGGAACAAGCATGCATTAAATCCAATTAAAATGCATTTTATTGAATATTCAATTGAAAAACTGTTCCACTTTTAGTTCATACTTAACTCGCCTATATTTTTTAATGGCAAAAAAGAATGTATGCTAAGCTAATAGTTTTATCTCCCTGATATTGCTCTTTTTTCTGGCATTATATATACTCCAATAGGCATATTGTTGTAAAAGAACAAGAATATGTGCTCGCCTAATCACATTTCGATAAACAATGAGTCCCAAAATCTAGGTCAAAACCTGAATTAAGTATTTATTTTCAAAAATTTCACATCATAATGAACATGCATACTAAATTTCAAGTTGATGTGACAACAACTAGCTTCATGATAAAGTTTCAAACAAAAACTTGATGCTTAGGGCTACTCCATTAAAATGTATGTAGGAGGGTAGGAAGGGAAGTTTAATTATTGAATGTGGGTCATGGGTCTTTTTCCTGTATGCGTCTATTACCATTATGCAAAATTATCAAAAAAAAGGTTCTTGGTTGTAGGGATATTTTGAAAGTCCCTTCCTACCCTCCCACATACATTTTAATGGAATAGCCCTTAACAAATATTTGAATGAATGAATGGAGTGACAGACACATGCACATAATGCTTAAAATACTTTTTGTTAAATATGCAATTTGTGTAAATAATCAGGGACAGATTAAAGTAAAATGTAACAATTTGGGAAACATATATGGATCATGCTGTATCATAAGTTTCATTAAAAGCGAAGTTGTCATTTAATGTTAAATTTTGTTTCACAACCATGTTAACCCCCTTACAAAATATGAATATTACTATAGCAACAAAGCTGGAGGCCTAATTCAAACAAAATCAATTAAAGGTGGTTTGACGCCTTCTGGGCAAGTTGCTAACATGTGAAGTGTTCAATTCCAGCATCTACTCATAGGGACAAATTGAAGAAAACAAAGGACGTGAAGAAGTTAAAATAATATACAGATGCACTGCATTTTACAATAACTAACTTGCTAAATTTTGACAATTAAGAGTAAAAGAATAAATCACTCTTTTGATCAAATTCTCATGTTTTACAAATTTTGGGAATTTCTTTAGCACGATATCAATATTGAAAAGATTGAACTTATTCCATCACCTTTTTTAAGCAACAGTGCTTAACTTTTCCACAAATGAACATTCCCCATCTTAAAGCATGATCAGAAGATACAGTTGGATGAACAAAAATTCATCCTTTCCTATTTCGCAAGATATATTTTGTCTTTCAAATAAGCTTTTAAACTATAAAAAACAAATACTTAAAGTGCAATTCTAAAAAGGCTCACGTGTGAGCTTTTGAAGTTTTGCCAATCTTTCATCCATAACATTTGGTTTCATAATAAACTTACTTTAAGTTGGACTTTGATTGTGGCACACACTCCTACATAGTATTTACTGTTAAAATGGTCGACAAAATCTACAAATCATATTCAAAAATTAATGACTTACTAAAAGATTAAAAGTCTATTCATTCATCATAATACAATTCAAATTTGTGATTCATTAAAATAAGACTGGTGGTATATGGAAAAATCATATCCCCAGAAAAAAGTTGACAATTTTAATTAAATGTTATCTGAATAGTATCATAAATACCAGAATGATATATGTTTTTTAAGTAAAATCTGATTTTCAAATTATGCATCACACTTTACATGAAAGAATTCCATGAATGCATTGTGGACCTACCTACTGACTGATGTGTTACTGAATGAGACCAACCATTAAATCCAAAGGTTTCATTGGCAAGATTAACCAGTCTCCATCCTTCAATGTAAGCTAGCTGAAGAAAAATGTACAATAAGATTAACACAAATACATTCTAAATAAAATGAAACATTAAGAAAATACAAATTTTCTATAATCAACTAGTGGACAACTAATTTTTACTGGTGAAAACTAAATTTCATTTTGACTGTCGTTTGACATCAGTCATACACCTAAAATTTAAAAAACTTTCAGACATTCAGCCTCTTACATGTGTATTTCTTGTTTTAACCTTAGAACAGGCATCCTTTTGTGAACTCTGGAGGCATGTCTATTAAAAACTACACCTAACAAAAAACATATACTTCAAATGCCACAGCGATATAGCCTTGTTGTGCAGTGGCAGTGGAAAAAAGACACCAATCAATCTATCAATACTTATAATGAAAGTAGGTGCAATCTAGGTAAAATGATGCATTCCTCCCATTAAAAGCCTTACAATAACTTTGAGATAAAAAGCACTAAAAGCACTGTTTCTACGTTAGTGTTTTGTAAAATCTGTGTATGGGTATTTTGCCATGTCATCTCATGGTAGTTAAAATTTTCTAAATTTGATAGTAACTTTTCTCCTATCTGTTTAGGCAAATACAAATTTCAAACTTGAAAAAGTAAAACATATGAAGGATCATTTTTTCTGGTTTTCTTATGTCAAACTGGGAAGTGTTTTCTATACATAGAGTACTCCTTTATCATATTTTCTCTATAACTGATAACTATATTACCCTCTGACCCCCAGCTCCAGCTCTCTGGCTGATAAATTCAGGTCCAAGTCTTTGTCTCAATGCACTTTGTATTGCCTCATGTTCTTCTGTAGTAAATTCAGCCTGTAATGACATAAATTTAATAATAATTTACAAGACTACACACAACTCTTGTACAGTGATTACAAAATATAATGTACTGTTAAAACTGTCAATTATTAATTTTTATGTTGGTTTACTTTCAAACAAGATACACAGAACTTTACAGGATCCTTAAACCGTTACTGAGACTTTTTACTGATTGTAAATGCATATGCATTGACAGAGAATTTTTCAAATTATAAAAAAAAACAGGGCAGCATCTTGGAAAATAAGTTCAAATGAGAAGCACCGTGTTAAAATAAATCATTGCAGCTGTCTGCCCTATCAAAATTTATACAATAGGTAACATGTACAAGATTCTAACTAAAATCATGCACAACATTTAATTTAACTTGATTTTTATAAATGTAATTGGGGACTTGATCAATAAACCTTGAACTTTCAACAAATCAAAATCTCCTCAATCTCAACAGAGGTCACCATAAACAAAAACACTAAGTATCAAAGCTAATTAAGGGAGATGCACAACATAAAAAATATGTGAAGTTGTAGCACTATAAAGCTATTTGTGCCTAAAAGTATCAAAGGAATTGAATTCCAGAGTTCTCAAAATACTTTTTTCCCTAGTGGTCCTTGAAGAAAATCTGCTGGTCCTCACTATTATTTCCATTGCAAAATACCAAAATTGGGTCGGATCTTTGCAAATTTTGTAGGTCAAAACCTTTGAACGACCACTTTTCGAGAACTCTGGAATTCTAGAAATTTTCAGCTTGAACATCACAATTACATTTAAACAAATGCAAAACCTATGCAAGCTAGAGCTGGAGCTTACATAATTGGAACAACTTATCATTTTGTCTTGCTAAATTAACTTAGCCGGTACAGCCATCTGCATTATAATATATTTTTTATATTTTGTTCTTATGTTGTACTGTTACATAACTGTCCCAGGTTAGGGAGGGTTGGCGCCTTCAAACAAGTTTAACCCTGCCACATTCTGTATGTGCCTGTCCCAAGTCAGGAGCATGTAATTCAGTGGTTGTTGTTTGTTGCTGTATATTATATTTGTTTTCTTCCGCCAGATTTAAAAATATAGTGCTGTTAGAAATTGCGGCCATACTTGGCTCGCTTGACCCGTAAAACCAGGTCACACAAATCTTACTAAAGTATCCTAATGTGTATAGAAAATAATTTAGGTTATGAGGCAAAATGGAAAGCCTTCATATATCTTAAATTCTGTGGTACATACAATTCAAGAAAAGTATTCTACAAAAAAAATAAAATAATCAAAGTTCAAAAATCGTTCGTTATTGTGTCCGGTGAGGCTAATTGTTTATATATAATTACTTCTATGTCATTGGGTCTCTGGTGGAGAGTTGCCTCATTGGCAATTATACCACATCTAATTTTTATATTTGTTAAAAAAAATAGACAGCTTTGATGAGATAAATAACATTGTGATCAATCTACAACCTTAAACAGCTGTTTGTCAATTATTACAATGTTATTTTTCTGAAACTTTTCTTTGTTTTTTAAGATAAAAGGAATGAATTTGACAGATACAATATATCACAAAGACACAGATATAGCACTAGACGTAATTTATAGACACTCAAATGATTTACATGTTTACTAAATATTTTAATTTAAAAAATAAAATTATGAAAATTTTCATGATATTTGTTATTATGAATAGACTAGATTAAATAATGAGTGAAATTTAAATTGACTAGATTTTCACTGTAGCATGTGTAGCCTAATATCTTAGGATGACCCACAAAAGTTATTAAAACGGAAGTAAGTTAACTCGTACCATTGTAAACTCGTACCACGTAAACTCGTACCAAAAAAGTTAACTCGTACCAACGTAAACTCGTACCACTGGGAAGTCGTACCAATCAGAACTCGTACTATTAAAAATATATTAAAAAATACGAATGTTTTATGATTTTGTTTTGGTATCACCAGCCCAGTAGTCAGCACTTCTGTGCTGACATGAATTATCATTGATATGGTCATATTTATAAATTAACTGTTTACAAAACTTTTGCAATTTTGAAATACTAAGGCTTTTCTAGCTCAGGAATAGAATCACCTTAGCTGTATTTGGCAAAACTTTTAGGAATTTTGGTCCTCAATGCTCTTCAACTTCGTGCTTTATTTGGCTTTTTTAACTTGTTTGGATTCGAGCGTCACTGATGAGTCTTTTGTAGACGAAATGCGCGTCTGGCGTAAATACAAAATTTAATCCTGGTATCTATGATGAGTTTATTTAAAACACAATAAATAAATTCTTTCGTTAAATAAAAACTCCTTTTAGAAACAAAAGAAAAATACACAAATCTATTCAATGATACTGATTTGGAATGATTAAAAATTAAATCAAATTGTTGTCAGTAAAAGTTTAAATAAGAGTCTACTCAAGGGAGACAACAAAGCCAATCTGCCACAATTTTCTCTATCCAATTAGACAAGGAAAATTAGCTACAAATTGGTCATTGTAATTTCAAATTATATACATTTTACAGATTTACGAGGTATTGAGGGAAATTAAAGTATATATTCATCATTAAACACCATTTGAATGCATTTAAATAAGTTGGTACGAGTTTACAATGGTATGAATTTACCGTGGTACGAGTTAGCAGTGGTACGAGTTTGCATTGGTACGAGTTTTTTTTTAGTGGTACGAGTTGACATTGGTACGAGTTTACAATGGTACGAGATAACTATAGGGGAAATTCGCCTAATTGCGGACACTTTTTCAAATCCGGAAGTTTGGATACCGTCGAGGCCAAATGCGGACACACTGGTGGTTGCATTTGACAGGAGAGGATAGAGGGGTATCAAATGGACTATTTCCCGCGTTTTCAGGTCTCCTCTCTTGATTTGTAGATTGCAAACTCTTAAAACCCCCGGAAATGCCGAGTAGCGTAAATGCGGACAGGGGGAGTTAAAATACGGACACCTTGTCGTCAAATTGCGGACACTTATTTTTAAACATTTCTTGCTATTCAAAACGCAGGTATTATGCATATATAACATAAGCTCTCATGAATACCCCTCAGGAATACCCTTTCAGTGCATCTTAAAGCATGTTTGAGAATGGTTTTCTCGCATTAACTGGTAATACATGTGGAAAGGTGAGAAAAAATAAGATTAAAAAAGTTCATTAAATATCCTATACCACACCAATTATTAAATGATATAAGATGGTACTGACAACTTCCATCGGGATATTGTCTTCCAAGATGCATGCGTGCATATATATGAGATATAGTTGTGATAACTTTCAATTTCAAATCGTATGGCATTCATTGTAATGTGTTTTAATGTCCTAATCACTTAAAAATCCGTAGCCCTCACTCAAGAGCATAAGATGCCTTGAGGTGAGATTTTTTTATTTGCATTTACCGATACTTATAAGATAATTTTATTAAGGCCCCGCCGAATGGCGGACGCCCTATAGTGATCAGTCTGTCCGTCCGTCCGTCCGTCCGTAACAAATTGTGTCCGCTCTATATCTAGAGAACCGTTATGATTTCAAAGTTTATATTGACATGTATATTAACCAACACAAGAGGGTATGCATAATTTATGTACAACTTCCTAGGTCAAAGGTCAAGGTCAAAAACTTTGGTTTTAGTTGACAACCCCATGTCCTATGGTAAAAATCGTTTCCGCTCTATATCTTGAGAACCGTTATGCTTTCAAAGTTTATACTTGACATGTATATAAACCATCACCAGAGGGTGTGTCATAATTTATGTACAACTTCCTAGGTCAAAGGTCAAGGTCAAAAACTTTGGTTTCAGCTGACAACCCCATGTCCAATGATATACACATTTTTTACCACACATTATTCACAGCGGGGCCCATCAGAGATGGCTCCCATCTCAATGATATCTAGTTTATCCTCGGGTTTCTATGTACTCTTTGACAAACATGATTTTTTGCGGCCCATCCAACACCATGAACATCTGAAAACAGTTTATGGAATGGGTAAAAAGGCTTAATTTTTAAGAATTGTTAAATCAAAAATGGGAAAACGCAAGGTGTGAGGGAACATGCAAATTTTGTAAATTGGAATGTTAAAAAAAAAATAAGAATATGGAAAAATAGACACCAAAAATTTTAAGGAATTATGGAAAAGTCAGTATTATGTTTAGTTTTATATGTATTGTCTATCATTTGTTGTTTCTAATGTATTGGTCTTTTGTTGGGCAATGTATGACAAATATATGTTGAAGAACCTAGCCCGTAATTATAAATTATGTAATTCATTGACCGCTCCAACATGTGTAACTTCAAAGCATAGTTTAGCGGCGATCGATATCTTTCAAAATTACTGCACTTTTCTTGTATCCCTGGTGCTTTCGACTTGAGAACCGTCGTACACAAGCATCGCACAAGTTGGCACTCCGAGGCGGGTAGGGAGCAAAAAGGTGAACTTTGGTTTATTTTTATCAATAGTACCGCTTAAGTCGACGCTAGGGGCCGTCTTGACCTTGTAGGATATGAATGATTCGTTTATTGTTGAAGACCCTACTTCAACTGTCAAGATGAAGAACAGGAATAAAAGCCCTGTTCATTGATAACTTTTTATTTTTTTCTATGTATTGTGTGCGATTTTGTCCCATGTACATTTACTCTATATCCTTTATTTTCTCTTATGAATACTGACCCACGTCACTCCTCAATGAAGGGTCTTGCTGGCTTAAGTCCAATATCTCGAAAATATAAAGTAAAATAAAAAAATGAAAGGGAGCTTCCCCTAATGTTACTAAGTGTTGTGCTAAAATTTCTTTTAAAATCTGTCGGAGTAAATTTGAGTTGTATCCTACGACATAGAAAGTGTAGACGGACGGATGAAAAGACGGGCAGAGTGATTACTATAATAGGGCACTATAATATGATGATACGCTATTGGCGTTCGTTGCATTTCGTCACATATATACTTTTTTCTATATAATGCCTGTTCTCTGACCAATAATGACATCGGATTTAATCCGACTGGCGAAAGGATACCAGCGTGTGTAGAACATGCATACCTAGTTCTGTGCCAAGGTGCAAAGGATGATTAATTACTAACATTAATTCGTCCATGCAGGTAAAAAAAAAAAAAACGTGAGGCATACGTCGTTCACATGAGAAAATTACCGAACCAAATATGGAAGATGCAGGTGATAGAGTTTCACCCGAGGAGGAGGATGAGGACGAGGAAGAGCTCATCAAAACTTTTTAGATATTAAATAGTTACATTTGAATTGTTATCTGATTACAAAGCTTTTAGTTTATGATTATTTCATAACTACAGAAAATAAGTTTTTGATTACCAAAGCAAATATTTAATGATTATGTGATTATGCTGGCAAAAATTTGGTGATTATGCGATTACTGGTATCTCCCCATGAGGGGCCTCGTTTGTTTTTCGATTTGCCACAGACGGATGGACAAACAGACAGACAGACGACTGGATGCACAAAGTCGTTACTGTTGGACGCTCACAAAAGTCTAAAGAGGTCTTTAAAACCAATGTATTAGTTACATTATTTCTATCATGTTTTGAAAAGTTTTATGAAAACATTTCTTTCAAAAGAATATTCGTGATATCAATAATTTCATCTGTTTCTTCCGCAGTACGAATGTCCAACTCTTTACCTCTTATACTTGATTTTCTAGCAATAAACACAATGCAGGGTTCGACATTAACTTTTATACCAACTTGTCCAGTTGGGCAAGTGCCCTATTACTTTTACTTGTCCGAAAGTGAAATCTACATGCCCAAACTTTTACATGCTATTTTTGTGGTTGTAATGTAGTACGTGCAGATAAAATATAGTTATCATGTATATGGGGTGTAAATTGATTATGGAGTATGAAAATATACTATGAGGCATATATGAGCCGAGGAGGGAGGGAAAAGATCGATGAATATACGGAAATTGGATCATTTACATAGAGATACTTATTTCATAATAATTTATCTAAGAAATGCCATTTCAAAAAACCCTTCTTGATAAACTGACAACAACTGACAAATTTGTTAAAGTTTAATTTCACTTTCTCTTTCAAGCTTTTACGTTTTTCCATCTTAGGGAAATACACATCCGATGTCAAATTATAAAGTTAGAACAACGAAAATAGACCTCCGCTTTCCATTGGTCGGTGGGAATAACACGTGCGTCGGAAACGCCCGAGTTGTGTCCCGATGAATAACGATAATGACGAAGCAACGCCGCGGCCGCCTGATTGGCCAATATTTTTAAACGTGATCTATTTTTGGTAAAATGGGGAATTCAGTGCGAACAATTGACGAAATATACGCATTGAAGGGGGGTTAAGACCACTTTACTCGACCGTGCGGTGTTATCACTAAGTAATCTATGGACAAAACAACAGACACTATTGATTTTGTGAAATTTTAATCATATAACACTTTTTTTTTCACTTGCCCGATCGGACAACCAAGATGATGTTTTTACTTGTCCGAATACGGCATTAGCTTGCCCCGGGCAATCGGACAACCGTAAGTGTCGGACCCTGCAATGCTGCTGAATTCATTTCCCTTATCACTTTTCGCATAGTAGTGTTGATACATATTCATGTTTTGATAAACGTATTCAGTGTTCCAGCTAGGATTTGAAAATAGAGGGGCGCGTTTTTAAAAAAGGGCACTTTAGCGCGTTCTCACTGAAAAAAATCAAATACTTAATATTACCACATAATGACATATTTTTAGCAAGCATGTAGCTATGTTAAATACTCTATACTATTATATACAAGTTTGAAAATCATTTATTTAGAACATATAAGTTAAAATCAAACTGAGAGCACTAATAGTCATTACTATATTCATTTCTCTTTCAGAACTACAGATTTTTTCAAAAGAAGAGTTCAAATGCAAATAAATATTAAACAACATTGACAAATATTCTGTTTTTCTCTTTGAAGAAGGTTGTCACACATTGATCAAGAATTTTTTCAAATTTAGTTTCATCACAGTTTAATTTTACAGTTAATATTTTTGTTAATGTCTGTGTTTTCAAGTTTGCCCTGTGACTTGTCTTTATCAATTTGACCTGAGAGAATATTCTCTCCACCTCTGCTGTACTGAGTGGTTGTATTATTGCAACACTGAATAGTTTTGCAACAAGAGGGTACATAGATAATAGATTTTTATCCTTATGACAAGGTGAATGAAATAGCTCTAGCAGACTAGGTAAGGAACGATCTGTAAGTTCTGCTGATGACACAAGAGCTATAAAGTCCTGCCATTGAATAAGGAGAGTTTCAGGGTCCATGTCCAATGTATTTGCCAGAGCTTCTATCTCTGTATAACCATACATTATTTCAATGTTGTCTGTTCCTGTAAGGTCTGAAATGGCCAACTGATCGATTGTGTCAGCCTCCTTAACTAACTTATATATTTCCAATTAATCCATTGAGAAAGCACGCGCTGACTTTAGTGTCAAAATCTAAAGTATATTTCATGTTGAGCGTATCTAATAATATCAATAAGTTTGTCAAAACGGATTTCAATAAGAAAATTGATACAAAAATCGGACTTTCGAGAGCTCCGTAATCGGCACAATAATAAATTAATTCAACTTTGAAAGTTTATTATCAATTCAACAAGCATCTCCGTATATTTCATGTTGAGCGTATCTAATAATATCAATATTAAAGTTAGTCAAAACGGATTTCAATTCAAGAAAAATGATATAAAAATCGGACTTTCCAGTGCTCCGTAATCGGCGGAATTTACAATAGAAGAACAATTGCGATATCTGATAGAAACCTTAATTTCTTCTTCTCGATTTTTCATAAAAGTAAAGAATTAAATTATTTTTTTACCGTTGATGGTCATTATTCTTGAAAAAAAGATGTAATAGACTGGCAAGTCTTTGATATTTTCTGCTTGTCATTTTCGAGTTGGTCAATTTTTCTTTTTTTCGTCGGCATTTTGCGTGTTGACGATTTACAATATCCTATTGGAATGATTCTTTTTTAATGAACGTTATTTTATAAATAACAAATACAATAGAAATGAACATCGTTCACATTTATTTTATAAATTCTATTTTGCATCGTCAGGTGTTAAAAAATCAATTCATTTAACTTGGCTGTTTTGGTGCTTCAGGGCAAAGGGATAAGACAAGGTCGTAAATTTCACCTGATTAGTAATTGACTCTAATCAAATAGGTGATTATATACAGGTAAGAAGTGTCAACAATTTTAATCTGTTGTCTTAATGAAGTGTGCGTATAAAGAACTCAACAAAATGGCGACGATATGAGGAAAAAAGAGGGTTACACTAAAGACGTTTTTAAACTTTTTTCAAAAGGGCACAGAGGGGCGCATTAGAAGGGCAGAGGGGCGCAAAATTTCGGGGGCGGGGCGCGACGCCCCTCCATTTCATGCTAGCTGGAACACTGCGTATTAATTTCATAAATAAATAGCCAATAACATCATTGTGAAATAGCCACTCGTCTACGAGACATTGTTGCAATTTCATTCGGGTGATTGTTTTCTGTACATTTTATTTCATTCCATTTGCTTTCGCAAAATGTCCTAAACATGTAGACATTCTGTAAAGAAAGAGAAATAGATTGGCTTGCCATCCCGGGGATGACGTTTACAGTTTTTGACCTATTGAAGATGTGTGCAAGTTGCCAACTGGAGTGGAAATCAGACTTGTAAACGCATTATGTTCGTAATATGCAAAATGAAAGCAAATCAAATAAATCCCAAATCAAAACTTTATTGATATAAATGTATCGGATTGAAACTAATAATGCTAGATTATAAGAGAGTTTTGTTTATTTCCGCCATCATGGTATTGATATATGCACCACTGCACGTGTTAGTTGTTCAAAATATCTTGTGTCCGCATTTCGGCTATCATATTTTTTTCGGTGGTGAAAATGCGGACACTTGCTTATTCCTGTTTTGTAATCAAAATTTAGACAAATCAGTAAAAATAATTAAAAGAAATGTTTCCTTGCATAAATTACGCAATGCCTATCGCTTTTCAACACATAAATTGCCATTCTTACATTAGCAACTGTGTATTGAATGTGACACGCTGACTTTGGACCTTTTTCAAAATTTTCCGGTTTTCAAACTTGTTGACATAAGCTATTTATAGCATGCAATTTCAATCACATGACATAAAAGTAAATCGTAAGCAATAGACATAATAACTTTATTGCAACAAAAAAGAGATTCAATAGTAAACAAAACACCTTATTTTTTATATCTATTTTATTTCAATTTTTCATAATTTTATTGAAAAGTGAGATATTCGTTTTCCGTCCGCATATCGGCGCTGTCCGCAATTAGGCGATTTTCCCCTAATTCATTAAAACTTATTTCCTTTTATGAAATACATATAACTTTTATGGATATCTAGGTCCAGCCATGCCTGAAAAATATTCTAGATGGACGGATTTGTCGGTTCTCAAGTAGATTTTGTGGTGTAGACACCCCTATAGCATATAATAAACATATTTTTTTGTAAGCTTATTATAATTTTTTATGAACCTTAACCGACAACAAAAATTTAACATAAGTTTGGGTCTCGTTCTTGTCACGTGTCATATTCTAAGCACATTTCTTTAAATCAATGTTCTGCTCATGTATTGTTCAATATAGTTTTTTTTCCAACCTGGCCGAAACAGGCAGGTTTATGCTCCATTGAATGAACAAACTTCAAGAAATCGGCTTCTTTCTGATGATTGTTATGATGTTATTAACCACAGGAAGTTGAAATTCGCGCATTGCCTCAGAGTTGTCCAATCATTTTTGCCTAGACCATCTTACGCAGAATATAAAATAAAACGAATTTTCACGTGAGGACGTATAGCCTATGATGTAAAGATTTAGATATTTTATTGGTTTCCAATCCCAAAATTACAGGACACAGGCGCCTGAGTAATACACACCGTTTTTTATTTTTGTTTTTGTTTTAGTAAATATCTATTAATATATTAACTTATTTTTCACCATGCCAAGAAATTGCCTCCGTTGAAATTTTGCAAACATCCCATAGAGAAAATTACATGGATGATTGATATTGACCATTTGGTATATGGCTGTGTTCTAAGCGACATGTACATGCAGGTCATAAATTAATTTGTTGAACGAAATAAAATCTTTAACTACGAATAGGTGCCGTAGGAGGTCCACCGAAATTTTTAGCGAGGATTTCTTGGCATGTTACAGATAGAAAATTCAGGGTTAGAATATTATAGAACAGACAAGGGGCAGTAGCAAATATTTCATGTATATTATGAACACAGAGAAGATTACCCCGGCACCCTTTGCCAAAAAAAAAACCCTTCTTTTTCTTCTATGTGCCTTCGGACTTTATGTTTTTAATTGTAGTTTCACTTTCCATATTCGGTATTCATTCGAATGTAAGCTCCACGTGGAAAAAATCATGTGATGCAGGAATGTAGTATCTTGGAGTTAGGCTATTTCTTTCTTTTCGGACGGGGACTCCAAGCAGACAACATGCATTTATATAACGGCACTGTAGATTTTCTTATTGAATAAAGAAAGTTCCCGATCCGGTAACATGAATAGATTGGTTAGAAAGCAAGGTTTTAATTCCAATTAGATTGGAAAGCCTTATTTGAGGGTTGAAATTAGAGAGCACAAAAAAAAAAGAAAGGGGGGTTATTCCACAGGGAATATATTTATCTTATGAACTCAACATTCGATTTTTTTTTTATTTATTAAATTAAAAGAGAGAAAAACAAATGTAAAACAAATTGTGAATGGTCTTTCTTCCTGTCTCCCGTAAGGGAATCTCGCATATATCTAGTTTACCGTCAAACCGAGCACATGTCTTTTGGTTATTTCTGTCACTAGGTGGCTGTCTCATTGACGTTTACCCCATATTTTTTCATTGAAGCACAATGCACACGTATATGTTTTAGAACATGAAGTTAAGGTTTCATGTCATGATTAATAAAGTAAAAAAAAAGCAAAAAAGAGACTCAAAGAACTAAATAGAAAAAGACGAAATGATCTGATTTTCAAAAATGACTTGTTTGGTCGCTCGTAATCGATTGTCTACATATATAGTTGCTGTCATTTGTAATGAATGTAAACTTTAATATCTGTGGATTTTTCATATAAAATTTTTTGGTTAAAATTATTAGTTATGTTATTTCTTTTATAGTGGACTTTAATATAATTTTTATTATGCTTTAGAACATTAGGGCATTGTTGGACTATGTGTCAAAGGTGTATGAAGGACAACTCGTTCTATAAAAGCAGTGACTGGACGCATGTGTCTTCTGACATCATTTCATGTCTAAGCAGTTCCGAATAAGCAAATTCTTGAGTATACACCAAGACGAGCATCCGATTTTCAACTTTTGTTTCATTTTGTAGACTGTGTACCTCAAATGTTTTAACTGAAAAAAATGTCTTCAATGGGAACTGTCGAGCTGAAACCTACACTCTTCAGGTTAGCAGGGACAATACTCTGTTTTTAATTTTGTCATTTTTGCGCATGGAATCGTTAAAGACACTGTCAGTGGTTCAAAATATTGCTTATCAAAGACATGTCTACGAAGTTAGCGAATGCTGCATTCGAATAGGGACTGATTTATTCATTCTCAGAAATTTTGCAATCTTTTGACATAGAAATACAGTATGTAGTATAACGAAATCCGAGTTCTATATTTTAAGATCATATATATAAACAAGTCTAAATTGAAAACAACGTTCAAACGGCCTATGATGGCGTTGGATAAAAACCGCATTTTTTATACGTGTGCATGCAAAACAAATTTCTTGGTAGAGGGGTCTAAATACAGCTAGCACAAACAACATTTTTCCAAAAGACCAAAAAAGTGAAAAAGTATATTTTAACCAAACACATTTGACCAACAGGTCGAACAACAAATGTTCTTTAACCCTGCTGACTGCCATTGGCGATTGCCAAATAAACGGATCACCGATGTAATAAATGGATCTTAATTAAGAATTTAATACTAAACAGAAAACAATAAACTTGCGGAAAAGATGATATACCGCAAACAAAAGGTGCAAAGGTTTTTGTACACCATATCCGGATTTCGACAATTAATGTCTCTTCAGTGATGTTAGGAATCGAAACGGTATTTGGAAAGCCATACAATTCACCTCAATTTAGGATAGACTCTTGAATTTTGAGGAGTCTATATCAGAGACAAGCTGTACCTGATCACTTGCAGTCACCTCCATTGCCAGAGGCGGATTTATGGAGCTACATATATAATTTATGCATAAGCTTTTTTCAGGTTCTAATGTTATCTAGTTTGGAGCCCTTTTTTTATAAATCCTGGATCCACATCTGATTGCGTTTTTTTTTTTTTTTTTTTAAAGTTTTTAACATTAGACTACCTAACGAAGAACTCTTTAACTACATGTATTGCAAACAAAGTCTAAATTAATTTTCATAGTTCTTACATATAAAAAAGTTAACATCCATGTACTGCACAATAAGCAACATAGTCGAGTAAACAATATTATTACCAATATCTATTTTTGAAGATTGTAGAACTTAGAGGCGGATTAGGGGGCCCGGCCGCCGCCTTATGAAGCTTCATATATATTGAATACAAATACGTTTTACTAGTATCGCTCCAAACGTTGGCTTGCCAGGGGCGCCCCTTTTTCGAAATCCTGGATCCGCATCTGGTTCGACTCAAACGGACTATCCTATAACTGCTGAGACATACAATGCCTTATCATCACCTGTTAAAGTAAAATTTATTGAATATATCAATCAAGTGATATTTGGTTCACATGCATCACGATTTACAAAATTGCCTCCTGTTCAAAAGTCACCAGTATCGTATTAGATTTATACCATATTAAAAAGTGTATCCAAATTTACAAAAAGTCTAGTTTGAATAAACGATTAACAATGCAAGGACTCGATACTATGAATCAGCATTTCGCATGTATTTGAGTCTAATCGCGATATACTGATTAACCATCGAGATGACTTCCGAAGACTGCAAAAAAAAAGGGGGGGCTAAACTCCATCCAGTCAGACATCTGTACATACATTTGTATGTTTAGACACCCGTGTCCATCCCTTCTTTAGAAATGACACTTGGTTGTGAACTTTCGCCATAATTCGATTCCGCTGTTATCTATCACACTAAAGTTTGTTCTGCCTTAAATCCGTGCATTAAATTGTCTACAAAATGGTGTATGACTCGGAGACACCTATAGTTGTTGGAATCAGTCATAGCAGGCCTCCCAAGAAGGGAAACCGTAAATCATTTCTTCTTCTTATAGCCGTGAGAAATAGCAATGGGTACTGAAAAATCAAGCTATTACCAGAGACACTTATACATATGTCTCTGCTATTGTCTTGTCTTGTGTGAAGATCCTGCATTTCAAAGGCACATCTCTGGTTTCATAGTAAAATAAATGGTGTATTAACACCCACTAAACAGATATTAAGCTTTTAAAATCTAAAACGAAAGATAATTTAGATCTTATATATTCACGCCTTTGACTGAGTGGGCGCAAGCAACCCTGTAATGTTAATAATATCATATAACGTCTAATGTGCAGAGTAAAGCAGAGTTTTCTTCTGATGTATTCTACAAGATGAAGAAAGCCTGTACATCTATACATTTACATTGACAGTTGCAGAGCAAGGCACTAGCATCCAATGTTATTTGTGTATTAATTTTTCTAATATTCTACATTTCGCGCAGATCTCACTGCTTCTACTTCTACCATATAGTGACCGCCTTCAACAAATTGAAGATTATGTCACAGGAGGAAACTTACAACAAGACATAGATTGATATATATACAATCTTTAAAAAATACGAAAAAATTAAAAAAAAAAAAAATGCTTTGTATAATTAAGTATGATGTAATAGTTGAGTTAATATTGATGCTTTGAAATTGAAGATTTGAAAGAGTCTACTGAAATGCAATTTACAATGTTGTCCGGTAGTTTGTTCCAGTCGGTAATAGTTCTTGGGAAGTAGGATTCTTTTCTGTACTGTGTTTTGCAGGATGGAATTCGGAAGCTGTTCGAATTTAAATGTCTTGTTTGTCTTTTTTGTGGGATTAATTTATTATTTTTAGGTATTGCAACCTTATCGTGTTCAATTTGGGGTAAATTAGATACTCACTGTTATTGATAATTTGTATTAGCCTATTATTAATAGAAGTTTCGTCATACTTGTTTTATAATTTATTGCTTTAGTTTACTGCAATAGAAATGTGTTATGAGAAAAATTTTGTCGCTAGTAAATCCCTTGTTTTTTTAGATCTGTAGATCGTTTATTTAATAATATCGAAATTCGTTTTTTATAAATTAATTTTTGTAAATCTGGCAAATATTAATTTGTTTACAACGGAAGTAGAGGGCGCATAAATTACTTGCAGCGAGACATCTTCGGCTCAGCAGCTGAAACTTATAAAGTTTAGTTGATTTCGATATATTTTCGTTATTTTTCGAGTATCTAATTTACCCCAAAATGGAGGAATAACTGATTTTTATCTTCTGTTACCGTTATGATAACAAAGATATTGCAATACACGAGATAGATGAAAGATAAGTGATGCTTTTGGTACATGTATGTGCTGTGGTCCGTCTATATGGTGTCGTGAGGTAATCATGAACTCATTTTACAAAATTTCTACTTTAGATGAAACACACCCATGGAAGTAATTTAATTAGTCAGAATACATCCTCAAAATGTTTAAGAGAAAGAGCAGTAAGGGACCCAAGTCTTTGCAGTCCAGTCCTTCAAAGGA